AGTTATGTCATTGGAGTATCTTTTCTTTCATAAAAGAACAAAAAGAATTATGCACGAATGAAGTTTATTTTAATTAAAATGACTCTATTCACAGCCATTTACAATACGTTCTATGCGAAATTAATCAATTAAATTTCTTACACATACTATTCAGATTACAGAGGGAACAGTGGGAAAGGTTTCTGCTGATAGTGAAACTTTTTCTCACTTGATGGATTTTTCCACATGACTGTTTTGTAAATTGTAAAGTAGTAAACTTATATAATCAAATGCCAAGAATAAACGGTGAAAGACCCTTCATAGTACCATCTTGCAAGAACTCGTGATACCAAAAAAGACTGCAGAGTTTTAATAAGAGAAGGTCTTCGTAAAAGTATGGTGTTTTGAGTTAATTTATAAATAAATGTTACCTTTTCTACTCGATCATCCGGTTAATTGCAAATCATTTAAACTGACGCACTTTTAAAATAAAGATTGCGAACACTTCTTCAAATGCAACATCCATTAAGTTCGAAGAGACCAAAGTCTCTGTTTCGAAGATTTTTCGCTTCTTAGGATTACTTCATTACTACAAACTATCAATTCACTAGAGTAACTCTAAGAGACTTTCAGACGACTCATCGTCCTCCCGTCAGCCTTTTAACTGCAAATATCACAACCAAATCATTTATAAATTCGTGGAACTGATGGTTACACAAACTAAAAGAAACTAAACAGAACTAACAGATACTAAAACTACGCTTTCTTGCAGTTAATCAAAGTATACGCTAAATTTAAATCTAATACAGAGAATCCAATGCACACACCTAAACTAAAACTTGGCTCATGCCTAACTAAATGGTAGCAAAGCAATCGCACAAACTCATGTCAGCAAGTTAACTTACAAACAGGGATGAAACTAAAGCAGAGTGACAAACGGCCAAGGTATGTTGAAAATAGTTCTATGAAAAACTCAGAACCTAGTAGTTATGGTTACTAAATTGAATTCTGGTGGAAACTGACGGAAGTCAAAACTAATATAGCAATATACAGTGGATGGACAAAAATATGGAAACACCTTGTGAAATGCATGTTTGAAAAGAAAGATTGATTTTAATGAAATATGTAGGTGGCGCTGGCATTTTTGACTACTGACGCCACCTATACAACTTCGTAAATGTGTTAAACAGTTCAGTTGTTGTCGGAGTACTGTTATGTGAGGTTGTCATTGCATTATGTCAGAGTTAAAAGACTTCGAACGTGGGCAAATTGTTGGAGCACGTATGGTAGGTGCTTCCGTAAGCAAGGTAGCCGAGGTGTTTAGTGTTTCAAGAGGTACTGTATCGAAGATTTATTCCGCATATTTGAAAAGCGGAAAAACATCATCTGCTAAATCACAGCGCGACGAAAGTGTGTCCCGAGTGATCGTGACAGACGATCATTAAGGGCAATTGTGACGAAAAATAAGAAGACCACAGCTGCAAAAGTTACTGTTGAAATGAATGTTGTGTTACCGAACCCTGTGAGTACCAAAACAATTAGAAGGGAGCTTCATAAACAGGGAATTGCTGGCCGTGCTGCAATGGAGAAGCCACTCATCAGTGATGCTAATGCCCGTAACAGGAAAAGGTGGTGTTTAAGTCATAAAGCCTGGACTATAGAGCAGTGGAAGCGAGTAATAGGGTCTGACGAGTCTTCTTTCACATTGTTTCCCACTTCTGGCCGAGTTTACGTCTGGAGAACGCCATCTCAAGCCTATAATACAGACTGCTTGTTGCCAAGAGTGAAACATGGCGGGGGTTCTGTTATGGTTTGGGCAGCCATATCGTGGTTCTCTGCTAGCCCCATGATAACTGTATCAGGGCACATGACTGCCAAGACTTATGTGAACATTTTGGCCGATCAAGTTCATCCCATGGTACAAACTTTGTTCCCCGATGGTGATGGTGTCTTCCAAGACGACAAAGCCCCTGTTCACACAGCTCACATTGTCCAGGACTCGTTTTCTGAGCACGAGGATGAGTTGTCCCATCTCCCCTGGCCACCACAGTCACCAGACCTGAATATTATCGAACCTTTGTGGTCTATATTGGAACGGAAAGTGCGTTCTCGTTATCCACCGCCAACATCGTTATCTGAACTTGCCACCATTTTGCAGGAAGAATGGTATAATATTCCCTTGGCAAACATACAGGAACTGTATTTATTCATTCCGAGAAGACTGCAAGCCGTTTTGGATGCTAACGGGTTTCCTACACCATATTAAGCAAAGAAACATGTTTTTTTTAAAGGTGTTTCCATATTTTTGTCCAACCCCTGTAGCTGGGTTAATTAAAATAAAATCTAGTATCTTTAATCACTGTCTGATTTAAGAACCGGGCCTGTCTTTCTTGAATCATTCAGCCATCTTGCTATCTCTACAGAACGTGTTTACACGTTTTTAGAACGATTTAGCGACTGTTTAATTAATATTTAAAATGTAAAGACTATTTTTTCAAAGATTCGATCTGGTAACCTTGACAGAAGAGCTCTTCGGAAGATTTCAAGGGGTATTGGTTTCCACTACTTTCCCCAGTCCATCAATCGTGGTATGTTTCAGCTTAGAAAGAGTTCTTTTCAAGAGACCAAAGGCGCAATAATCCATCAGGTACGATAATCCATCAAGGGAGTTCGCAGAAATACGTTGAAAAGGTACATAAGTGTTATATATATATATAATACATTGAAAAGGTATGTATATAATACCTATATCAGTCTTCCTTTTTTCAAGGAATGTAGTGGTACTTCTCGAAGTATGATTGTTGTTTGTCGTGACGAAGTTTCACGCTTTGAAAGTCATTGGGACAAAGAAATGGAATTTGTTGTGCAAATATTGAACTTAAAAACTTTCTCTTAATAGTACGTTGAGGTGATTTAAACATACTGTTATGAAATGTACAGGTGCGGTGAGATAGCTTACCCGCAAAACAGTTTTAGAGTTGCCACAAAATGGAAAAGACGGCTGGGTTGCCACATTTGGCGAAAAATCGCCCATTTGGTGACAAGATTGGCGATATACCATTGACGGTGGGAGAACCTTCTGGAGCGAGTTCTTACGGGTTTATTCCAGAATGCTCTCGAACACAAGCCGAAAGCTATATAAACCCTGCTGGTCCGGTGTGTGTGCCTCGTCGAGAGGGCGAGCCAGTGTGTCTCATCTAGTTAGTCCGTGCAGAGATGATCGAGCTGACAGCTGGCCAGCGAGTACCGAGTGGGTCGTCGAGTGCATCGAAGAATCTCTTAGTGTATCACGGTTAGTGCATTGTCGAGGGAGTGTGTTAAGCTCCGGGAACGACTGAATCGAAGAGTCGGGAGCTGTGCTCTGTGTGTCGTCGAGTGCATCGCGAGTTGTAGGGTGGAGAGTCTCGAGAACACGTGGAGATCCGAGAAGGACGGAGCAGAGTCGGGAGCTATACCCTGGTGCTTTGCAGTGAAGCTCTCTTCACCGTTATTGCCTGACAGTATGAAGGCTGTGTCATTGATGGTTTCAGCGTGTTTATAGTAGATCTTCGACGACTGTAAAAAGTGTTATTAGAGCTGTCCTGATTAATATTGGCTAAATAAAGTGTGTTTCGATACTTCATCAAGTGTCGTCATTATTCACTTCAAATACACACGAACCCTGTATGAAGTGAAGCAAGAAAACAACTGGTGTCGGAAAAAAAAAAAAAACATAACAATACTTTTCCACTCTTCTTCTCCTTTCTTCTTTTTTAAATTTCCCATTCTAAGAGAATCCTGTGATAATCATAAACACCTTACAAAAACCATCTTTGAAATTGAGGAAACGAGGTTTCTACATTGTTATCTTTTTGTTTTCGATAATACACAGATCTTTTTTTATTGCAGGCAAAGTCATGCTTCATAAAAAATCACAACATATTTCCATTTATCTCCTGCTAAACAGTTTTCTACAAATTGTACTGCGTTAAAACATGTCTCGGCGAAAGCTGGCGAACATTACGTTTTTTAGCATTACGTTTTTTAAGTTGTAAATCTTGGTTTATTACTTTACTTATTGTGTCTACAAATGTATTAAAAGACTTTACAACTGATTTCTGCGTCGGCGAATTTTTCTCTTGTTATCAAGGGCCTAACTTTAGAAATATCAGAAATAATACGTATCAATTTCGGGTATTCATTTGGAGGCTTCTTTCCATGCAGAAGTAAATGACTGACGGTTTCTCCCCCCTCCCTATTAACAATGTCGCTTATTTTGCACTGTAGAACTTTTAATACGATGCATTTTACAATGCTTTCGAGCTATGAAATTGGAATATTTCTCTTCGGGAAGCGCAAAACATATCATTCAATCGACAGCTTGTTTACATGCCACATTTTGGAAGAATAAATTTAACAGATGATATTTCTCATAGGATTTTGAGCTGATTTCGAGGTCATAAAAATTGCATTTTGAACAGATAGATGCTGCCATCAAAACCTAAATTAAAGTTAGCAAATCGCTTACTAGATATTTGAACAGCGTAATATCGTATTTGTATTTCAGAAGCAGTTTATCAGTTTGGAATGAATACTCATAATAAGGTATGTTTCTTTTTCATTTCGTGAGAGAATAAATGTCATTATTTGTAAGAATGAAGCAAATTGTTTTTCCGGGAGGAACTAAATTTGAAAAAAAATAATTCTTCTAGAGAAACACTTCACGAGAATTATCTTTTACAAGATTTAGATAGTTTTTCAGCTTTTGAATATCATGAAAGTTTACTTCTTACATTATAAAATCAGCTCAAATATCGTATTGTATTTCTTCAAGATTTTATAACATGTAATTTGCATTTCTTTTTAAACGTGGGTCATTTTTAGTAAGATTCTGTCTTTTAATACTAGAAGCCTTTTGTTTATTCTTGCTTGTTTCATTATGTGCATAACTAAACATAATAAAATTTTAAACGCATGAATTTTTATGTTTAAAATTGTATTATGAAGTATTATGTGGTTTTTAAAGCCTTCTTTGTTTTCAGCTCATTATTCGAGTTCCACCTCCTCCTCTTCCCCAAATGATGCCACATGTTAACTGTTATATGCCTATTGCATCTACTGTCAAGAATTACATTCCACAAAGTCTAATGGTACCGGTTTGTCCTTCGAATTTTTCACCAGAATTACCAGCAGGATCAAATATAGCAAATAGCTACCATGCTATAGAGCACACAGCACATGAATTCACTACTGCGAAGAACAACCGTGTATTGAAGTCATTTCAAACCCTAAGTCAAAACAAAATTTATACATGGAAGAACGATCGCTGTTGTCCAGAAAGTTCCAATTGGGAAAGTTTAAAAAACACCGGATACTGTGACGTAAATGCATGCAGTTGCAGAATCGAAAGTCTGCAAGAAACTTATGTCAGAACACCTTGGTTCCCAAACGTAAATTCACACGCAAGTTTTGTAACAAATATAGAAAACTGCAATTCTGAAGCTATGATCCTCCAACCTGAGCCAGATATGCAAACTGAAACGTTTCAAAATAATCATACACAAAGATTCGAAAGCGGAAAATCATATTCTGTTACTACGCCTACTCTTATGAATATAAAACTCCAGAGTCAAAGTTTAACTTATGATACAGTGTCAAGGATTACGAACAATACTACACCTAATTCAAAAATTACGAAAAATAATTTAGCATACAATAAAAGGAATTCTGTTCCAGAATTAAATATTACATATAATAACAACCTCGCAAATCAAAATTACTACGGACACCGTGGAGCGACTACTGTAAAATTGGTTCATCAGAGCAGTGGAATCAAAAATTATTCGTCAACGAATCTAATATCCGAGTGTAACGAATCCAATATTCGAAAAGGTAATTACCATCACTGCCCTAATAATTCACAATATTTTACATTTCCATTGACTCGCGGAGTTAAGGAAGAATTAAAACTTACAACAAATAAAAACCTTACGAACTCATTTGTTCCCAGTTTAACTTCATTGGATAGTATCAAAAAATTGCAAAATCAAAGTTATAATTTATGTGAAGCAGAAAACTCGTTTCATCTTCGCTTGGAAAAAACAGAGCAGTTAAATAATATATATTCTACACCAGCCTTCTCAGCAGGATATGATAAAAGCAAAGATAATGAGAAAAAAGCTGAAGACTGCTGTAAAACAAACGAAGCTCTCCCGAGAACTCAGACTGCAGTCAGTAATGCATTACTAAAAGACAAGCATGTCGTTCGTTATGAAATATCACCATCCTCCGTAAATAACAAAACATTTCGAACGCTGCTTCTAAAATGGAAAAAACGGAAATTCAGTAAAGGAAAACTGAAACTTTTAGTTTATTACATTACCGAAAAAAGTTCCGACAGTCATAACAAAGACATAATAGCAAAGAAGAAAATTAATAAATCTTACTTAAAAGTTAAATCCAGATCAATAACACTGAAATTTAATCATGGCAAATGGGTTAGGAAAAAAGTAACAGCGAAACGAAAGATTTCTCATTCTCTCAAATCGAGGAATAGAAATTTGGAGACATCGCCGTTTCCTATAAATATATCGTTTTATAAACACGTGCAAAGGACTGTTGACAAACCTGTCTTTCCTCTATACGACAACAGAAAATTTACTAAGTTTTCTTCTCAATTTTCTTCGACTGACGATTTCAAATCAAATCCAACGAAACGACTCAAAAGTTGCGGTAACATATTATCACCTGATTGTAAAAGATGTCCTCAGAAAATTAACGTTGAAATACCCACAGCTAAAAATTTCGAAGTCGTAGATGACAGTTTCTTCGACTGCGATGATATACAAAAACTTCTTAATGAAAATTTCCTAATCAAACCATGGTGTCCTCTAAATGAGAAAATAAATGGCTGGCTTCATTTTAAAATTGCACTGCAAACAGTTTTGAAGAACTGCTGTCGTCTTTTGCAGGAAGTATCCCTAAATGAAAATCGTGAAATTCTTTACAAATTTTAATGCAAGCGTAACGGTTTAATGATAAGGTGATAATATTGAACCTAACTTTAATCTTAGTATCTGAGAGATTAACTTGGATATTCCTCTTTTTCTTCTACAGAAAAAAACGTTGTTTTTAACCAAATTTGCCATATTTTTTATTTTAAAATGGTTAATAAAATAAATTCACAGTTCTAAAACTAACTATATGAAAATTGAAAGTTTTACTTCAATTAATTCAAGTAATTTCACACTTCGTGGTTAAATACCAGATAAATATTTACCTCACTAAATATTTGAATTTTTTACACATTTTAATTTCAGGATAAATAATGGTTTTAAGCAAATATAATAACGTTGTTTATATAGTTCAATAAACGTTGTTTTTAACCAAATTGCCATAACTTTTATTTTAAAATGGCTTATAAAATAAATTGAATCTCTCAATTCTAAAACTATATGAAAAGTGGAAGTTTTACTTCAATTAATTCAAGTAATTTCACATTGCATGGTTAAACACTGATTTATAGATGAAAATTTATCTCATTAAATATTTACTTTATTAATACATATTTGTCAAAGAAGATAACTTAAACTTTTCGGTGGAGTAGTGTTTACATTCGGGATAAATAAAATAATCATTTTAGGTAAATATAATTTAATACTTCAGAAAACAAAGATTTATTATAGGGCTGAAATTTTAGCTCAGATAGCTTTTTTTTTCTTCCTTCAACTCATATTAACTTTTTCTTGATGTATGGGAGTTAACAGATAATACAGCAAAACACTGTGGTATATATTTTGATGACTGATCGAAAGTGACATATGAAGCGGTGTTAGAATAAAATTGACTTTTGAGACTTTTTCTATTAATTTCAAAACTTATTTAATAATTAATTATAATATATCCAAAACAGCATGAAAAAAAATTAATTATTTTTAGTTTTTACTTTATTCAAATAACTGTCGATTTGAGTTTAATTTTGAGAATTATTTTTAGAATTTTAAACAACTGAAAAGTTTCCGACTGTTCCAAGTTTTAACCGGCCCACCAGCAGCCGAGCGGTAAAGAGCGCTTTCCTGATTTTTTCCCCATATTTAACATGTATGAGTCCATTTCCCTTATACAGTCCTCCACGAAGGCATCCCTCCTCTTGATCATATAACACCCGAGTGCTTTGTAATAATCAAATAAGCCAAACCAAACCAGGTTTAAACCATCGAACTGATGATCTTTCTTCGATTGATGAATTCTCTTTCCATTTCGCATTGAAATTTAAAGATTACTATATAACAGTAATCTTAACCAGTGATTTTTCAATGCATGAAAAAAAACCTAACATCAGTTGTCTCGAAATAGCATTAATAATAAATAGCAATATAAAAGTTAAATTTAGAATGTAAAGATCTTGTAAGCCTGCTGGATGTTAATCCAACTTTCACTATACTTATTTTATGAGAGTCACATTGAAATTTTTGAGATAAATACAGGTTTTTAAAGTTATACTTACGAGATTTTAGGAGTGTTCAAAGTAGTCTCCTCCAGCATCATTACACTTCTGTAGGAGAATTTCCCAAAGATGCAATGCATCAAGCCATTCATTTCTTTTAATGGATGAAAAAAGTGCATTTATAGCCTCATTAATCTCATCTTCGGAATGAAAATGACGTCCACTTAAGTTCTTGTTTAGATTATAATGAATACGATGGATGTTGTATCACTCTGACATGTTTTTATTCAAGAAACTCAACTGTCAATCTTGCTGAACGAGAAGATGCATTGTCATTGTGCAGCATGAGTCCTCTAACACTCACTTCTTGAAGAAATTCTAGAAGACACTTAGTGGTGTACCAGTTAGTTGTGACCGTCTCCTGTCCTTCCGGCTTGATAGCTTTGAGCAGTCCTGTACTTCTAAAAAAAACGGCATACATTACTTTTACACAGCGCATTGTCTTTTCACCATTGTGGGCATGAGATCATCTTCAAAGACCCATACTTTACTTTCTCGAAGTATTAGAACGTAAAAATGGTATGTACGTTTCATCACTAGTTACGATTTTAGAAATAATCCATCTTTAAGGAATTTAAGTGTTTCTTTGCTGATTCTGGCATGCTTATGTTTTTGATGCTCATTTAAATTATGGAGAACACAACAGCAAACTAGTTTTTTCATATGCAATTCTGCATGAATAATTTTATGCATGGGGGAGGATCCAATGCTAAGTTCCTTCTTTATCATTTGGTAGGTGCAGCGATTATCATCGATTAACATTTTCTGTATAGCAGACGCATTATCTGAGATTACTACTGAAAACGACCTTCCTGGATATTCTTCATTCTGAAGAGAGTTGCGAAGTCTGTGAAATTCTATAAACCATCTGAATACAGTAGCATGAGATGAACCTTCATTTCCAAATGCTAAGTGTAGATGTTGAACGCATTCTTTTTTTATTTAATCCCACTTTAAAATCATAGCGCGGTAATGTTCTGGCGTCAACTCCATTTTTCCTTCTGCCTAAATTTTATTCTATGCTAAACTACTTGCAATTGGCCAATAAAAAATCGTCTGCTACGCTAAAATAGCTCACAGTTTCAAGTATAAGCGTTAATTTTTTTTCTGCCACCTATCGTCTGCGCGTATCTCAATTTCAGAGTGACCTCCGTATTTTCGAGTAATATGTTACCAACAAAGAAAGAAAATTCGGTTTATCTTTGGATTATGGTAACTTAACGATTTTTTGGCGAAAATTTGGCGACCAACCCTGCTACAGCAACCTGCTAGTTTTTGTTTGGACGCCATTTTGTTTTCACGAAGTAAAAGGCTTTTTTTTTTTTTTTTAACTCAACATTTTTTTTCCAACAATCTGCTAGCCGAATGACGCTTATGCTAGAACTTTTATGGAACAAAAGTGCTTAATCATGACAAAGATTAGGTGCGAAATTGGGAGAAAGTGCATAATCGCAAACTGCTTGCCGCGTTTTTAAGAATTGCACATACACGGTATCATCCATGTACACGTCGATCTATTTTCACTTTAAAAAAATCCCAGAATTGCACAAAAAATAGCATTGCGCACACTTTTGACTTTATCCATGTACACTGCTAAAGTCCTAGCTAGTAACCTTTATCGCCTTACCAAAATGTCGCCAAACTACCTGTTACCATATTCCAAAGATTAGCCGAATATTCATGTTGTTTATGAATACAGAAAATGCGCTTTTCGGTCGAAGTACACCAGCCCCTTTCCGTTACCATACATATCACACAGGCTTCTTCTGCTTCAATTTTCATACTCAAGAACTTGTGCGTATTTCTTGTCCATCCCCAGATACCTGTTTTAAGTTTCAGACTTAATTTCTCCAACCCAAAAGCATAGTATTAACATAACATCATGCATCCGGACATACTAGAGTTTGGTAGTAGGAGAAGAGGGTAGGGAAGCTGTAGGCATCTGCGCTGTAGATTAGTGAGCTTTCCGTGAGAACCTCATATTCTCCATTATCACAATTCAACAAGCCACTTCAGCACCTTCGCTCTATCTCTCAAAATAATTCCCTCCTTAATTACGACATGAGGAGCTTCTTGGTTTGAATTCTTTACATCTGAACTTTGACTCCTTTATATAATAATAAAAAATACATAAATAAAATAAACCTGTCCATTAGGTACTTGCTCACGTATCAAAACTCAGCGAGTTTGTAGGTTGACTGACTTGTTACTAGCAATAAAGAGCTATGCATTCTAAAAATGCATCTAATTTTTGGTGCTATCTTAATATTGCCTAATATCTTAATATTACGACCATTGCTTACAAGAAATCCGTGCTTTAATTGCAGTTTTATACAGAATAAATTACAGTGAGTAATATTAACAGTGTTCTAAAATAAATGGAACCAAAAAATTAATAACAAATTATATTTCTATTTATTTGATTTCTAAATAGTAAAAACATAGAAAAGTAACACACAAGGGAATAAAATTATCTAAAAATATATGGAAAAATTATCTAATAACCATAAAATAGCCAGTGAATTTAAAACATATCCATTAAAAATCTTTTAATAATAATTAAAGAAATAAAATCATTTCACGTATATTCAACATTAAATAAAGTTTCTGAAACAATAAATAAATTCATTAATAATTCAAATTTAATAAAATGCTACCACATGAATAAAGTATCAAATTCTTAAATATAATAGAGTTGTACATAGTAACATTCTCATGAGATCAAATCATTAAAAAAAAAAAAAAAAAAAAAAAAAAAAAACTGATAAATTACTGTTATCAAGAATGAAATACATGATGAATAATAAATGTCAAACTTTAAATAAAACATTTACAAAAACCTAAAAACAACATGTCACTTTTATATTTTACTACATATATATACCTTGCATAGATATTTATTCAAAACATATTTTTAGATATAATAAAAAAATTCACACGATTTGAAATGTTAAATAGGCAGTTTACTCAGTAAACTAATGTTCAGAAAATTCAAAGTCTACTGGCCTAAATTCTGATAATAATAAATAAATTTAAAAAAAAAAAAAAAAAAAAAAAAAAAAAAAAAAAAAAATTTTTTCTTCAATTTTGCATTATGGTTACAAAGCATTTTTAATTAAAATTAACTTTTATGAGCTTAATGTATTCTAAACACAAATGTCTTTTGCATTAATAAAGTTACATTTTCAAAATGCCTCTGAATCAATTTATGGAGCTGCATATTTCAAGAACGAAAATTTATGCCAGAATATTAGAAAGCCTCGTAGTTTGAAGTAGAATGTTTTGAAAATTGTCAATAGAGCAGAATATACTAAAAATTATAGCATTATTAATAATTATACTTACATTGGAGAAAACTTAACCTATCATTTTATGGATTGCATTCAGAGAATTATGAACCTTCAACAAAATTTCTAATTTAGATAATATTCTTCAAGATTATTAACTTTAAAACCTCATTCTATGCACACAATAGGATTCAATGAACTTTTCGTTGCTGACAAATTTTTGCATATGAAGGCCATATCCTACTGACCTGAGAAGTTTTACTTATTATGACATAACATTTTAACACGGACATATTAAAAGTAATTTTTCTCCTATTTGCAGCAAAAAAATTCCTTTAATTCCCCTTTGTACTAATCTGGCATTAAATATCAGTTTCTCAGTAACTAAATTAAAAAAAAAAAAAAAAAAAAAAAGGTAACACCAAGTTGCTACAAAACTAATGATATTATTGTAGCAACTTGGTGTTAAACTTTTGATGCCATTCAATAGAAATCTGATAGCA